TTGGCCACCACCAATGAAGACTGTCTGTGACAAAAGGATGGGCTAACAACATACGTTTGAACAAAGTGAGGGGTGAATGTGGGATTTCGTTGTAAGATGAAATTACACATTTGCACCAAGCTCACTATAGACTTTTATCATTTCCCTTCTTTGCGAACGAATCCCATGCTATCAGGAATGGAAAGATTGTATTTTGTAATGTTCAATTGATGGGTTATGCATAAGAAGTTGTAATCATATGATGTTGATGAGAGATTGACGCTAGCAGTAGGCGTCCAACGCAGTCACGTTTCGAGAGTGAAACCCTACATTGGTCGGACGAGGAATTCTGACGGACACCAGCAGACGTTGAAGGTGTACGGTTAAGCTAGTTGTATAGAAGATGACGGCAGGAAGGTTAGTGATGTTTGATTTGTATGTAATCGGTGTTGGTAATGGTTGGACGAGGAATGGTCGGACGAGGAATTCTGACGGACACCAGCAGACGTTGAAGGTGTACGGTTAAGCTAGTTGTATAGAAGATGACGGCAGGAAGGTTAGTGATGTTTGATTTGTATGTAATCGGTGTTGGTAATGGTTGGACGAGGAATGGTCGGACGAGGAATTCTGACGGACACCAGCAGACGTTGAAGGTGTACGGTTAAGCTAGTTGTATAGAAGATGACGGCAGGAAGGTTAGTGATGTTTGATTTGTATGTAATCGGTGTTGGTAATGGTTGGACGAGGAATGGTCGGACGAGGAATTCTGACGGACACCAGCAGACGTTGAAGGTGTACGGTTAAGCTAGTTGTATAGAAGATGACGGCAGGAAGGTTAGTGATGTTTGATTTGTATGTAATCGGTGTTGGTAATGGTTGGACGAGGAATGGTCGGACGAGGAATTCTGACGGACACCAGCAGACGTTGAAGGTGTACGGTTAAGCTAGTTGTATAGAAGATGACGGCAGGAAGGTTAGTGATGTTTGATTTGTATGTAATCGGTGTTGGTAATGGTTGGACGAGGAATGGTCGGACGAGGAATTCTGACGGACACCAGCAGACGTTGAAGGTGTACGGTTAAGCTAGTTGTATAGAAGATGACGGCAGGAAGGTTAGTGATGTTTGATTTGTATGTAATCGGTGTTGGTAATGGTTGGACGAGGAATGGTCGGACGAGGAATTCTGACGGACACCAGCAGACGTTGAAGGTGTACGGTTAAGCTAGTTGTATAGAAGATGACGGCAGGAAGGTTAGTGATGTTTGATTTGTATGTAATCGGTGTTGGTAATGGTTGGACGAGGAATGGTCGGACGAGGAATTCTGACGGACACCAGCAGACGTTGAAGGTGTACGGTTAAGCTAGTTGTATAGAAGATGACGGCAGGAAGGTTAGTGATGTTTGTTTTGTATGTAATCGGTGTTGGTAATCGTAATGTTAGGGTTTGTTATATTAAGGTTATGGGTTTGTCAAAATTGTGTGAGATTAGAAATGTTTTTTGCGATGTATGTGTGATATGTGATTGGTATTGGATGTCCCCATTGTTAGAAATGTCCAATGGGTTGTGTGGTTGCTGGTTTGTCGGTGTCGGTTAGTATGCAATCTTGTGTTGATGTGTGAAGTGTTTGTGATGTGATGTTACATGATTATTGGACCCAGGCTTGGTGTGGTATTGAACGAGTGACTATTTGCTGACATTGGTGTGTGTAATGTTACTGGATGCAAGTGAAATAACTGAAATCTACATTGAACTCTACAGTATAGATGTGGGTATAATGTTTTGTATGTGTACGTGGTTTTACGGAGCATAGTGGCCCCTGTTTTGTTTTTGTGTTTATTGTAAATGTTGACATGTCGTAACTAGTTTTTGTACATTGGCATTAATGCGTTAGTTGATTGTGGTAGTGCCTGATGTGTAAATGTTCTTTTAGGCTTGTCGGGGAATGATGTGTGAAGCTTTGGCTCAACGTGTGACGTTATGATGTTTTGTGTGACAGATGACCAAAAGGTGTGGTGCGCGGTAGAAAGTTACCCCTGTCGATGTGTATATGTATTCTTATTTTTTTTCTTCATATTTTTGTTTTGTATAGAGAGTTCTTGCTCAGAGAAGATGGGCCGGCTTTTTTACGGGGAACAAGGATGGTTGGAAAAGCAGGAGAAGGAGAAGCTGAAGATGGACTAGATGAAGATGGATGATGAAAACCCTAAGATGCGTAAGTTAAAAAATCAGGGTTTTGGTGTCTTTCTCTGTCTCTGATCGCTTCAACTACACTGGAATTTCTTTGCTCACTTGGAGCAATGTCGGCATTAATTCATTTTATCTTCTTCTATTATACATGCGAGCACTTACATTGGTTTTTAAAATTTTATCTCTATTTAGGACTAGTGTTCAGTTATTTATTAATTTTTTTTAAAAAAAAGATAATAAAACAAGACTTGAATTTAAAATTATAAATTTGACAAAGAAGTCTCTTATTATTTGAGATAACAATTAGTGGGGGTGTCTAGGTATGGTTTTTTTTTTTTTTGATCGGAAGAAATATGTCAATTAAGAGAGCCAAACGGTACTTATAAGAGTCCAAACAACCCAAATCTTACCCAAAGTGAAAATAAATCAAGAAGTACTCAGGAAAAAAAATATGAAAATATTCAGACGTATATATCGTACTCGTGCTCATACTGCAAAGCAGAGCCGATCATAAAAGTTCGGCAATAGAGCATATTCGAAATATTTCATAGATCCCAACCACAATGAGGGTAAGCTTAACAAATTCGCACAAATGGACTCGAAGAAACCAAACAAAGCCAGCAGCAGCTAGCAAACAAATAGGAAAAGACCAAGGAAATAACTTAAGACTAAAACCAAAACAACAAATCAGAAAATAAACCCACAACCAAACAAGACCAGCGGTGACGTCGATGAATCCGGCGATGGAGGCGGTGAAGGCAGCGTGGAAGAGGCGGGGAAGGCGTAAATCTGTGAAGGCGCGGATCCGTGAGTCCACTTCCGGAGTGAATTAATGGGAGAAAGAAACACCTCACAAAGGAGGGAGAGAGTGGAGAGCCGAAGCTTCCAAGTTATTGGAAAGCAAAGTGGGGAAAGGAAAGAACAAAAGAGGGGTAGGGGGAGGGGAGAGGAGGCCGGAGGCCGCCGGAAACCCCTCCTCCACCGCCAGCGGCTAGAAGCTCTGAAAACCCTAGGGAAGAAAAGTTTGGAGAGAGAAGCTCTCAAACTAGAGGAGTAAATTATAAATACACTTTTGAAATTTGATTAAAATATAAATTACTTCTTATAGTTTTAAAAATTATATTTCATCCTTAAAATTTTTAATTTCATAACAAATCGTCTCTTTTATTAATAAATCATCAAGTCAATTAACAGTTTTTAATGATGTTAGAAATATGTTTCAATTAATAATTTAGGTAATTTTATTATTGTATATGAGAGTAATTATGAATTTCATTTTTTTAGCTAATTCTGTTAAACAAAAAATACTAACAAGGATGTATTTGTAATTTTCCAAATTACAAGGGGTAATCTATAGTTTAAGCAAATCTCAAGAGGTGTATTTGTAATTTATACTAAAACTTAGTAATGAAGTAAATTAATTAAATATTTATTGGAAAAAAAAGGTTAAAGAAATAAAAAAATTACCCATAAATTCTATATGGGAGAATATTAATCTATTTTATCCAAAGAGTTTTTTCTTATGAATCAATTAGCCTTTTTTTATTTTGAAAAGTTGTATTTATTTGATTCGGTATTTTATGATTCATTTTCTAACTTTCTTATTTGTTTTGGGGACGAGAATAAAAAGGTGAGGTGTGAAAGATTTTTTTTGAAAGGATTTGTGGTTGAAGTGTTGGCTGTCAAGCGTTGAAATCTATATTTCTATTAGTATGATTTTCCGGTATTACATTGGAGTCACGACAAGAATTTTCACTTTTGATGACTAAATTTTTAGTAACCAAAAGTCAATTTTTAGTCGCCGAAGGGCTTTAGCGACTAAATTTTTTTGTCGCAGAATTAGTAGCCGAAGAGTAGTTGGGAAAGCTAATTGGTGACTAAACTTATTTTAGTTTCCAAATATATTCGTTTGCCGACTAAATATTTAGTCGTCAAAAGGTTGGGAAAAAAATTAAATAATACATTTTCGACGACCAATTTTTTTGTCGCCAAAAGCCTCAATTATTGTTGACGACCAAAGATTTAGTCACCGAAAAATTTTTTAGCTACTAAATCTATTAGTCGCCTAAAATAAATACTAGTGTTTTGGCTACTAAAATTTTAGTAGCCTAAAGTCAAATTTTTTTGGCTACTAAAATTTTAGTCTGCAAATAGTTTTTGTTTTCGCTACTAAAAATTTAATCGCCTAAACTCCCACATTTTTTGCTACTAAAATTTTAGTCGGCAAATAGTTTTTGTTTTGGCTACTAAAAATTTAGTTGCCTAAACTTTCACATTTTTAGCTACTAAATTTTTAGTCGGCAAAAGTGTTTTTATTCTTAAGCTTTTGTTTTTAGTTACGAAATATCTTAGTCGCCAAATGTTTGGTTTTCTTTTGGTTACCAAAATTTTAGTTGCCCAATGTTTGATTTTCTTTTGGCTACAAAACATTTAGTTACCAAACGTTTAGTTACCAAATGTTTATTTTATTTTATTTTATTTTTTTTGCTACAAAACTTTTAGCCACCAAAAACATGATATTATATTTTATTGCAAATATTGTAATTTCTCTATAACTTGTCTGTATTCCATGCAACTTGTAATAGGTATATAAATAAAATGATACATATACTATCAATCATTCCACAATTTGCATCCATATACAAAATATAAATAACTTTAACTGTCAAAGGATATACAAACCAACTATTGTCCAAACTAAAATAATAATTCCATACAAAATATAGAATCATACAAAAATCAAAGCCCTCTATATACAAAAATTACATTTACTACCATGTGAAATGACCATTTGGCATGGTACAAATTACCATTGTAATCTGTACCACGACAAAAGGTGATGTTTGTATGAAGACAAAAGTACATCTATGTACCACGGCAAAAAATCATATATATGTATGGTGACAAAATGTGATCTATCTACCATGCCAGTAATTATCTGTTGGCTGCCAATAGTTTTCTGTATCAGTCATAGTGAACTGCACAAAAGCCAGTGACGACAAAAGTATTATATTAGTTCTATACAAAAGTGAAATTTCTTCACCATACACCAAAATATTACTCTGAAAGTCCACGCAACAAAGTCATCTACAAAAAAGAAAAAAAAAAAAGAATTGGACCAAAAAATGCCTAACTTTATGAATGAATTTGGCAACAAGTGACAAATAACATATCAAAGAAGCAACCTTCCATGATGAATCAATTATCAGTCTTTCTAAAGTTTTTTGTTATAAGGAACATTGTTAAATGCAGAAAAATCATTACTAAATCTGTCATTACTAACATAAAGCTAATGTAACATTCTTTTATTTGTATGCAACATGTATCCAAATTCTGTGGCTAAACCAATATCAAAGCCCAATGTGAATAGAAGGTATTCTTTTTACCAACTTCCTCATTAATTCTTTGCAAAAAGCACTTGAATCATTAGATTGGATATAAAACTATCTATACTTATTAATGTCTATTAGTGCCATTTCATTCAGGATATTAGAACATGTGAGAAAAATAATAACAAAAATAAAGTTCAATAACAAAAGGAAATATGTAGAAATGTATGTTGAGACACCTATAAATGGTTCATCAAAGAAAGAATACTTGATATCTCATGAAGCACATGGCCTCAGAAACACCATTCAGAGTTTGATACTTATATGAAAGCTTAATATAATATAACACACTTGTGTACGTTCAAGAAATTAATATAATATAACAAGGTGTAAAATGAGTTAATATTGGTTTCTGAATATTTTTCCTATAATTTTCCATTACTATACATCTCCAATAAATAATTGTATTCACTATACACTTCCAATCACAAAAAATCTCAGAATAGATGCTCAGAAAATCTTAAGTAACAAAACTTGGATATAGTGTCATTCCAGTTTGAGAAAAGACAATTAAAGTGGAAAAGGATAACAATCATTGGATGATCTATCATGGCAACAACAATAACTAACAAAATGCAGAGCCAATCATATGTTGATCTATCATGGTAGTAACAAATACTAACAAAATGCAGAACTCACATACCAAGCTTCTGCAAGTTCACATTCGGAGCAAGAAAAGAATTTTCTTTCATCTTATTTGTATGAATCTGAAGAACAATGTGCACTTCAACAAAACTCTTTTTCTTTTAGGGGCTGTTTTGAATTTTTGCAACTGAAACGCCATTTTTTGAGTAGGTTTGAGGCGTATTCAGCTCTAACTCCCAACCTACAGGTCCAGATTACATTCCGTCAGTTGTCACAAGTCCTATTTGTCATGGGAAAACTGTCCATGAGAGTCACACGGCCGTTCAGGGGCAGTTTTGAAGTTTCGCCCACGAAACGCCATTTTTCGACAAAGTTTGGGCGTATTCGGCTCTAACTCCCAACCAACGGATCCGAAATACATTCTGTCAGTTGTCACAAGTCTCATTTGTCATAGGGAAGCTGCCCATGAGAGTCATATGGTGGTTCAGGGGCTGTTTTGAATTTTTGCCCCCGAAACGCCGTTGTTCGAGTAAGTTTTGGGCGTATTCAGCTCTAACTCCCAACCTACAAGTCCAGATTACATTCCGTCAGTTGTCAGAAGTCCTATTTGTCATGGGGAAGCTTCCTATGAGATTCACATGGTGGTTCGCAGCCTGTTTTGAATTTTCGCCGCGGAAATGCCCTTTTTCGACTAAGTTTTGGGCGTATTTGGCTCTAACTCCCAACCTACGAGTCTGAATAACATTCCGTCAGTTGTTACAAGTCATATTTGTCATGGGGACACTGCCCGTGAGAGTCACATGGTGGTTCGGGAGCTGTTTTGAATTTTCGCCCCTAAAACGCCCTTTTTTGAGTAAATTTTGGGCGTATTCGGCTCTAACTCCCAACCTACGGGTCCAGATTACATTCCGTCAGTTGTCACAAGTCCTATTTGTCATAGGGAAGCTACCTGTGAGAGTCAAATGATGGTTCAGGGGTTATGAATTTTCACCCCCGAAACGCCCTTTTCCGAGTAAGTTTTTGGCATATTCAGCTCTAACTCCCAACCTACGGGTCTGAATTACTTTTCGTCAATTGTCACAAGTCTGATTTGTCATGGGGAAGCTACTCGTGAGAGTCACGAGGTGATTCAGGGGCTGTTTTGAATTTTCACCCGCGAAATGCCCTTTTTCGACTAAGTTTAGGGCGTATTCGGCTCTAACTCCCAACCTACGGGTCTGGATTACATTTCGTTAGTTGTTACAAGTCCTATTTTCATGGAAAAACTGTCCGTGAGAGCCCCATGATGGTTCGGGGGCATTTTTGAATTTTTACCCTCGAAATGCCCTTTTTCGACTTAGTTTAGGGCGTATTCGTCTTGTTATCAAAATAATTGTGGAGATATGGCAATAAGGACTGGCCTTATGGAAAAAGTTATCTGCTCTAAATATGAATCTATTGGTGGGAGATGGATGCCATTCTTGGAAGATATTAGCAGAGTTTCAAGAGTATGGGGGGACATTCTTTCGGTTGCTAGTAGTAAAGTGCACAAAGAGCTGGTGAGGCAGAAACAAATATACCCACTGCCCATGTCAAACTAATTTTATTATTCATGAGGCACTAAGGAACACTTTAATCGTAACATAATAATTAAGCACTCAAGTAATCTTCTCCAAGTAGTTGGGATTTCTGCTTTTGTCTATTTATGAAAATGAAAATGAATTTTAATAAACAAAATTAGACCAATGTTATTGCACATCAAAATTAGAAGTAGAGTCTACTCATTAGAAGCATACCTCATATCCTATCCAAGCAATGGAAGAAATCATTGTTCCTGCTAATGCATTTGAGAACTTTCTGTAAATATCCAACTTGACACAACTCCTCTTTGCTTGGATAGAGAGAAAAATATCATTATACAAACTCTGAGAATGAAAATAGTATAGTTGCTCTAATGGAAAAATAATTTAATGTTGCAACTAATCAGTTTCCCAAATTCTACCTATCCCCATGAAAATGGTACTAAAGGAGCCGTCTTGATGATGTTAACAAAGCTTTATTTTGTCTTGTGATTCCTTTTGCAAATATAGTGTGATGGTTAACATCTATATTTAGCAGGTCACTATTTCAACTAGAGAAGTTTAAAATTTTTAAAATTTTACACTTAATAATGGGGAACTTGAGGGCATTGGATGAAGACATATTTGTAAGATCCTGAAAATGAACAAGGGAAAGTACCAAAGCAGGGCATATAATGCTAGTCATATCCATTAATCAATGGGAGCCAAATCAAATGATGTAGAAAATATATAGATGTCAATACAACTTTTTAAAGAAAAAATGAAGTCTCAAAACTTGATATATTGTTTTTATATGTTATAGATGTCGATACAGCTTTTTAAGTTTGAGGCGTTTTTGGCTCTTACTCCCAACCTACAAGTGCAAATTACATTCCGTCTATTGTCACAGGTCTTATTTGTGATGAAGAAGTTGTTCGTGACAGCAACACGGTGGTTCGGTGGCTGTTTTGTAGTTTTGCCTCCTTAACACCCTTTTTCAGTTAAGTCTGAGGTGTTTTTGGCTCTAACTCCCAACTTACAAGTTCAAATTACATTCTGTCTATTGTCACAAGTCCTATTTGTGATGGAGAAACTGTTCGTGACAACCACACAGTGGTTTGGGGGCAGTTTCATAGTTTTGCTCACTTAACGCCCTTTTTCGGTTAAGTTTGAGGCGTTTTTTACTCTAACTCCCAACCTACAAATTCAAATTGCATTCTGTCTATTGTCATAGGTTCGATTTGTGATGGGGAAGCTATTCGTGATAGCCATACGGTGGTTCGGAGGCTGTTTCGTAGTTTCGCCCCCTTAACGCCCTTTTTTCGGTTAAGTTTGACGCGTTTTGGGCTCTAACTCCCAACCTACAAGTGCAAATTACATTTCGTCTATTGTCACAGGTCCTATTTGTGATAGGAAAGCTATTTGTGACAGCCACATAGTGGTTCGGGGGCAGTTTCATAGTTTCGCTCCCTTAACGCCCTTTTTCGGTTAAGTTTGAGGCATTTTTGGCTCTAACTCCCAACCTACAAATGAAAATTACATTCTGTCTCTTGTCACAGGTCCGATTTGGGGGTTGTTTCGTAGTTTCGCCCTTTTAAACCCCTTTTTTGGTTAAGTTTGAGGCGTTTTTGGCTCTAACTCCCAACCTACAAGTGCAAATTACATTCCGTCTATTGTCACAGGTCCTATTTGTGATGGGGAAGCTGTTTGCCACATGGTGGTTCAAGGGCAGTTTCATAGTTTTGCTCTCTTAATGCCCTTTTTCGGTTAAGTTTGAGGCGTTTTTGGCTCTAACTTCCAACCTACAAATGCAAATTACATTCCTTCTGTTGTCACAGGTCTAATTTGTGATGGGGAAGCTGTTTGTGACAGCCACATGGTGGTTCGGGGGCTGTTTCGTACTTTTGCCCCCTTAACGCCTTTTTTCAGTTAAGTTTGCAGTGTTTTGGCCTTTGGCTCCTAACCTAGAAGTGAAAATTATATTTCTTCTATTGTCACAGGTCCTATTGGTGATAGGGAAACTATTCGTGATAGCCACACAGTGGTTCGGGGGCTGTTTTGTAGTTTCGCCCCCCTTGATGCCCTTTTTCGGTTAAGTTTGAGGCGTTTTTGGCTCTAACTCCCAACCTACAAGTGCAAATTACATTTCGTCCACAGGTCCTATTTGTGATGGGGAAGCTGTTCGTGACAGCCACATAGTGGTTTGGGGGCTGTTTCATAGTTTCGCCCCCTTAGCGTCCTTTTCCGGTTAAGTTTGAAGTGTTTTTAGCTCTAAATCCCAACCTACAAGTGCTTCCCAGACATTTTCAGATAGCTTGGGTTTGGTTTGGCAGCTTCGCATTGAGCTCATCCTTCTAAAACTTGCCGTCAAATTTGGCCAGAGTTGTTCTTCTTGAGGCCAACTGCTGATTTTTCCATGACTGGAGCAAATCAGTAACGTTCTCATAGATATAATTGGTTATTGATTTACGCATATAACCACATATCTGAACGAAGCTCATGCTTTAAAATTTATTCAATGAACCATTAATGGTCATGTTGATGAGCAAAAGTGCAAGACTATTATGAATAGATGATGTGAAAGAAATCAGTCAAGTAGACAGTTTGGGCACATATGATCACAGTGCTCGATTGTTTTATCAAATCCACATAGGCAATTTAACAAGGATGCCACAATTACAAGCAGCAGACAAATTTGAATTTCTTCAAATTCAAGTCACAAAAATATTAGGAATACAAATAAAAAATTTTAAAGCAACAGAGCATATACCCATAACAAAGCTAAGAAGGTAAGGCATTGTGATATGAAGTTCATTGGGCATAGCCTCCAGGAGAGGGAACAAAGGTAGGAGCTGTGACCTGCCAAATGAACTTGTTAAAACAAATAATTGAGTACATTAGTTACTAGAAGTAATTTGGCCAACCAGAAGGACAACCATAAATGTCCTCTAAAAATGACAATGAAATGCTTAAATTCACTATCTGAAAGCTGACCTGGATTGGCTAATATTACTACCAGGTTAATGGTTGGATTACAAGCTACGACAGCAAGTGCTAGGCATCTCCCAAAGGAATCGCCCACCAGATAAATTGGCTTATTTGGAAATGAAGCATGTTCGAGCCTCACAATTTCTTCCACAAATTTCACCAAGTCTACACGCAATAAAATGTAAATTTTAATTAATTTGAAGAGGATTTGAAAAAATTGTGGACAAAGGCATACAAGATACACAAACAAACTCACTATACAAGAAAATAATAATAATAATAATAAAAGAACAAAATTAACTCGCAACATTATTTAAATATATCAGCAGCACAAATGAACTATCATAAGCAACACTACAACACAAAGAAATACTTATAAAGATATTTACAAGTTACAGAAGTTTAAGACATTCAAATGGTGTTCGGTCATATACAAGAATATACAGGCACCAAACTTCAAAAGCTTTGTATTCAAAAGCAATCCCATATTAGAATTAGGGTTAAAAATAATCAAAAAGTACCAAACTATACATGAATTCCCATCATCATAGTATTACTCAAACAGAACAATGCAATTGTAAGACAAGAAATTTCTTTGACCAGCATATATGCAGATTCTATCACAATGGACCCAAGAAAAATGAAACAGAATAAATTAAGAACTTCTATTGCAATACAAGCATAGTTTCGCCCCCTTAACGCCCTTTTATCTTGATTTTTTATTGTTGATACTAACTACTTTACCAAGATCTAGATTGCACCAATTGAGATCATGGAAGTCAAAAAATTCAGGTCTCTATTGTTTCTTCCCCGCCCACACCCTATTTTGTATTTATTCCGCTTCTTACTCTTCTTTCCTCCTTGTTAAACCATAGTTATCA